TTTCTCTTCGAGAAGTATAGGGCCCAGACTAAATTTGCCCTTTATTAGAATCGGGGGTTAATTCTGATGATTTTATCTGTTATATCTTAAAGTATAATGATGTAAACTTGAAACAAATTTCTTCTTTATTTTACAAAACCTCAAACTAGTCCTACATCTTGAAGAAAGTCATTTTATTGCCAAACTGAATTCAATTGATTTGGTATAATTTATAATGTATTTTTTCTTCATAGTATCTAGCTAATTTTTCATGTAATACGTAAACATTCTTATGTACATTCTTGCTGAGAGGAATTTGAATATTGCTTTTATTTATTGGAGACAAGGCCTGTGTGTTTCTCTTGCCCACCAATATTTTTCAAAGTGCTATTTTCTTTAATTAGTAGAGGCTAACTCTTTAAAGCGAAAATTTCTTCTAATAGTTTGCAAATTAATCAAAAAAGTTTTGAAATTTGATTATTAAAACGAACCATTCAGAAATAATTAATATATCATACGAAAAGAATAAATAATCCTTTTATTATATTTGATTTATTAACTCTTTTATAGTTTCCTTAAGATATTTCATAAGCATGATATACTACTCCAGCATGCATAGAGGATCATGAATTGATAAGAAGTAAAACTATTTAAATGTCACCATCATAAATAAATTAAAAGGTCCCAAGCAGCGTAATTACACATCATAGAGAAATTATGCAATAATTATAGTCTGTATTTAATTTTCATTTTGCCTTGATTACCTTCTAAATATAATATTTAGAACGTATCCTCTCGTCTGAGGCTTTGCGCAGACTGAAAAAGTAATATGAGGATCAAGTCGGAGGATTTCCATCATGTATGAATTGCCGCCAGAACACTTTCCCATGACTACATTTGGATAACCGACTAATGACAATACACAAAATAAATAAAGAATTTATACTACCATTCTTAAATAGCATCATTGCAACTTCACTGTTACAAAAGAATTTCAGTCTTGGATAGTTTCTCATGAATTCTGGATTCACAGATAAATTGAATACATGAACTCTGGAAGCAGTTCCCATAGCTTCGCTTCGGAATTATGTTAATTGGCGCAGTCATTGATGTGAATTAATTATGCCAGAAAATATTTGGTATAATCTAAGTTATGCCACAAGAAGCGATGCGATAACATTAACACAATGATGATGCTGAAAAATCTTTTATCGCTAAAATAACTATATTGAAGATTAATAATTTGTGATTTGGAATTTATATTTTGATGCTTTATAAATATACCTTTAGGCATCATTGGAGGAGGAACATTTATCACTTTCCATCCAGCTTCCTCTATTCGTCGCTTTTGAGCACATGGTCTATCGGGATTTTGCAGGGCTAGTCCAGGACGAACAAATGAAAAAGTCGCATCGATATGCATTGGCCGGGGATCATCAAAATTCAAGCGATGCACTCTAATTCCTCGTGGTTTCAGATGCCGTCGTACCCATTCAATTCCAGCTAAATTGGTAACCTATCAAATAATAATATTAGAAGAAACTATGCAAAAATGCACGTATCAAATCATCTTTGAAATTATTTAGTGGTTCACAAATTACCATCATATTGATAATTTTTGGAAAAGTGTGAAAAAATTGTAATATCAATTGAGGTTCTCGAAAAATAATTTCTACATATAAATGCAGATATTGAAATCAAGCGTACTAAAACGTTTGTGCTATTCTAAATGTATAAAGGTTTCATTCACTCCAGCCCGCATAATATGATATAAGATTGATAGACCTCAACTTTAAATTAAACATCATTTAGCCTTGCTTTCCAAAAGATCTTCTGATCCAGGGTGGGCGGCAATTGAAACCTCGCCTAGATCTCATTATAAGCTCCAGCGGGACTCGAAACCGAGTGGTGCGGCGTAAATTCTCAACACGTTAAAACCACACTACACTGCTATTGGTTCGTCTAGCTCACTGAACATATGTGAATTTAAAGGAAAACCAGGCCATTCCTATATTAC